TATAGAACAAGTACCAAACAACACTACAATATAGTAAGCGAAAAACTGCGTTATTGTCTTTGTACTCTTTGTGTGGTTTTTCGTCATTTATAGTTTACTTTTTACTGTATATTTAATTTTTATAAATCGGTAACGTTGCGTGTAATTTCTTGTAATTCATTTTTTTCAAATAAAAATATATAGGTACCCAAGAATTGTTTGGTATATGAGATAATTTTAAATTTAAACTAGATACCTTATTGAAAATTTGGTAAAACGCTTTTAGATGCTCTTGAGAATCTCAAAAACATGGAATATAAGAATATTTTCAAGCAGTATTCAAGATTGAAATCGTCAGAAAAACTATTGTCAGAAAATTCAAATGACGAATTGTATTTTCTTTATTTCGCGTGCTAGGACATATTCAAAATATAACCATGAGAGAGAATTTTGCATTATAAATGTAATGTATTCCAATTCAAAAAAAAATTACATTAAATGTCCTTGAAATGTTTGCACAATAAGACTTATGCGTGTTAAAAAAAAAAAAAAAAAAAACGAGACATAACGAAACGATAGTAACAAATGCAAAAATACGAAAGAGTTTGAAAAAATGAAACTTTTCTAAATGTACGATAAAATAGTATAATAGAATGAAAAATCATGTTTCGCTGGTGAAGATGTGAATAATATATATAATAGACGAGTAGGTATTGCCTATGCCGAGCAACATATTTTAGGTGAAAATCAGAATATTTCACTCTAAATAATAATAATTGTAATAAGACAAATAATTACTCGTATTATTATGTATCAATGAGATTTTATGCTCAAATGCAATTTTTATTCAACTACATACCAAAACTCTTGGCGAGAAATAAACTTTAAATTTTATTACTTTTGCTTTCAAAGCATGTGTGATAACATATTGCAATCAACAAGTGTCATATAGTGTGAAATAAAACATTTCCAACTGTCGTGAACAGTATAGATACCTATAGGTATCTTGCCATCTTACATAATATTCCAATATTAATATTATTATTTTACACTTAAGACGATGCAATGTTATCAAACATAGTAGGAACTATTTGTGTTGAAATAAGCCATCCCTATAACTGGCTAAATCGCAATTATTTAACTAATTTAGTTGTTATCGCTAACTATCTCAAATGAATATAATATTTTGCTATCCATAGTCCGCGGATACCTGTCTGTTGTCTTTTTATCACATATGAAAAACTCATTTTTATATTTATAATATTCTGTGAACAACCATGAACTATTAATGGTATCTACAATGTAAGTCTATGGGTAGCTAAATTTAAAATTTAAATTTACTTTAAAATTGCCAGTACCTACCAAACCCCTTATACAAAGCGGATATATATTTCCTTTATTGAAATATATACAGGAATACATTTATTTTGTATCAACAACAATACATACAACAGAAATTCATATTTATTACCTAAACATAAATTGGTTACCTATTATAACAGCAGTGATAAGGTGATTGACATTTTTCAAAAATGTTTAACGTAAACAGTATTTAAGTAACTCTATATATAGTATATAATTTAATATAATATAATACCTATTAAAACAATTATTTACATTTTTTTTTTTTTTATTGAGTTTGAGGCCGGTCATTAGCTATTTTTTGTTTTGTTTGTAGGTTTTTGTTGGTAGGGGGGGGGGAACAAGTGTGTGAATTTGGATTTATTTATATAAATTAATAGGTAATACGATGGAACTTAGCCTAAGGTCTAAGACTTTAGAAAGAAATTTAGGTAGGTATATTTAACAAAATTGTACAACAATTTAAAAACATAAAATAGGATAGTAAATTGGACATCAGATATTATATATTAATAACAATATAATTAAATATATTGATAAGAAAAATTATAATATCATATTTAATATTATCATAAAAGTCACAGATATTCTTAGTAGGCTTTTAGAAGGCTTTTCTTCAAATAATTTAGTAATGATCTAAAATCCAAATTGTATTACTATACTTGTTGATATCGCTATGGACACTATAATTGTACAAGTATGGTTTTTTTTTCGAAATATCGAAAACTGGAGGGGGGACTGCGTTAGCATTACGTCCCCTAATTAGTATTACGTCCCCTAAGTTAGCATTACGTCCCCTGTTAGCATTACATCCCCTGTTACGTCCCCTAACAAGTAGGTTATTGAGTTATATATTATACTATAACCAGATAACCTATTAAATCATAATAATGGCACAAAAGCTTTATGGTAACTGAAATAAGTTTGTGTACTTAATACTGTAACTAATATAGGTACCTAATATCTATTATAATATCGACTATTTCCGTAACCACGTGATTTAGATTGATTAAACCTACCAGAGACAGTGGCGCCGAACCTATATAGTAAGGGTGGCGACCGCCACCCCTTTTAAATGGGTGGGTGGTGGGTCCTGCTATGCAGGTGGGCAAATGCCTAACAGAAGAAATTTGACGGCTAGATACTGAGTGTTCGATAAGTAAATTAGTACTTGGAATCAAAAGTGTAACGACTGACGACTGTAACGTCTATACACTGTGTCGCTGTATTCCTGTGTATTAATGAAATAGGTAGTATATAGACGTATTCACTATAGACGTATAGTGAACAGTTTAAATTGTGTTATCTATTATTTTTACATTATCAATTAGTGGTTTTTCGTACTGTGAAGTGGCTATTTTAGCCAACTTTTTTATTGTAAAAACCAATAATGATATAATAATTATATTGATATAAAATTATAAAAAGGTGCTCTGCTGTACAGTAGGTTACAAGTAGGTCACTGTATAATGGATAGTATTAAATTTTAATTCAATGATATAATATCGTTATATAAGAAAAACGGTTCTGAGCGGAGACGGTATTATGTCAGTCTAGGTATAAGACATATTATATACTTATCTATCATATTAAAAAAAATTTACCTAAAATAGGTACCTATAATGAATTCCAAATCAATCATATCATAATATCCATTAGGTACTTATAATGCGTTATACGTCAACAACAAACCCTGATAATATCATAGTCCATACTCCATAGATATATAATAGTGTACTTTAAAATTTTCAAGTACCCACGAATCACAACAAAATAACTAAAATAGTTATTCTAGGTTTTTTTTTTATGTAATTTTGTCCAAAGTTGAACTTAAAATGACTATATAAAATTAACTGTGCTTATGAATTTTTTAGATTTTTTGTTAACAGAATTTACTACTTACGTGGAATCTTGTTTTAAATTTTCAATCCTTAGATATAAAAGTTGAACATTTTATACATTTTTAACTCCAAAATAATTATTCAATTTTAAATTTGATAAAATTTGTCAAAATTCGATCTTTAAATGCTTATAAAAAACAATTGTGCCTATGTATTTTTAATATTTTATCAACTGATATTGTAACAATATATCAGGAGCCTTGTATTCAATTTTTACACTTTTTAGCCCAACAGATAAAACTTTATTGATATTTATAGAATAAAAAACTAAAAAAATGGGAAACTGAAAATGTCCGTAAACAGCTCAAAAAACGTCAAAATATTTTCAAAATTGTATGGTGTATAAGAAATGCTAATATAAATATTCAGTGAAATTTTCATGAATCTACAGTCATTCGTTTTTGAATTACAACAAAATAAAGAAATCGCTACATGAGAAATCGAGTGAATATATAACGTTGTAAAAATTTGAATTTCAAACGCTCATAAAAATTTAATTTGACTTTCTTATAGACATTTTTTTTTGATAAAGGTAGATAATCTTATAAGAAATCTTGTATTACATTTTAAAACCTAAGATTTAAAAAGAAAAATGTTTACCAATTCTTAACTCAAAATAATTTGGTAATTTTCGTGATTTTTCCATATTTTGTCAATTTTTGAACTTTAAATGCTTATAAAAAAAACTGTGACTAAGGATTTTTAATGTTTTTCAAATGCCATTGTAACAATATATTAGGAGCCTTGTATTAAATTTTCAAGCTTTTTTAACCAACAAATAAAATTGTATTGATATTTTTAGAAAAAAACTAAAAAAATGGAAAATGAAAATGTGCCTAAACAGTTCAAAATAAATCAAAATATTTTGAAAATGTTATCGTGTATAGAAAATACTAATATAAACATTCAGTCAAAATTTCATGTACCTACGGTCATTTGTTTAAAAGTTGTTAAAAAACCAAAATCGATTTTTTCGAAAACAGATTTTAGTGTAAAAATTCCCATTTTTCCTTAATTTTTATTTTGTTTTTCACGCCGCGCCGCTTTTGAAAACTACTGGGAAATTTTTACTTTTGACCCCCCTAAAGTACCAACTAGATTCACTTTCCTATCAGAAAAGCTACTGTTGAAGAAAATCCAAGCACTTTTACTGTCCTAAAACGTGATGACAGACACAAAAAAAAAAAAAAAAATTTTAAAATTAAAATTAAATACAAGTGGTAACAAAACTATTCCAGCCAAAATTACATTAAAAGTTAACAGAGAACCTAATACATCCATACAAGAGTTCTTGTAACACTTTTTAGAAAAAGTAATTGAGAACAAATACAAACATTTTCATGGGTATTTATATTTTTTTTTAAAAATGTATTTTGTGCTTAATGTTCACTACCGTAGACTAGTATTTATGAATAACTGACAAAAACTAAATTATTTTACATGACTATAATGTCTGAAGTTAACGTTAAGGTATGGCCTAATAATGCCCGCTTAATTTAACGGTTCTGGGTGGGTAGGTGTTTGGTAAATTTTTACTAGTTTGCCACCCCATTTTAAATTGAGTTAGGCGCCACTGACCAGAGATTTAGATGGAAAGGACTTTTTGATAATATAGTACATAAAATTTGTATAATCATAGTAATTATTAAGACTATCACAATACATAAACATAATATTTATACCTAATTAAGCTATAAAATTATTATTAGTCGTTAATAATTAAAAAAAACATTTATTTAACCGAATTCACTGTTTATATTATTGGCTAGGCATTTTCTTTTTGAAAATAGTACTAATTAAATCCCGTAATTCATTGTTTTTCTGTTGTTCAGCTTCGAGCCGTTTCTCCAACGATATTTTGTGAATGTTTTCAGAATCATAGCTGGCTAAAATGTTCAACAAATCTTTCTTCTCCTTCTGGAGTTGAGCGATACTATTTTCAGCTATCTTCATGCGCCTCTTACTTTGGGCCACATCCATACTGAGAGCACTTATCTTGCTACTGTGCAGGTTTGATGACTGAGGTTTCTTTAATTTCTCATTTAATACTATGCCGATTTTTTCCATATACTTCTTGGAAGTGGCAAGGAGTTCTGATCCGATTAGTTCTTGATCATCGCCATCTATTTTTAACACCGAATTGACATGGGCCACTACGTCCTCGAGGTTTTGAAATTTACGATTATCCATAATTTGTAACAAACATTGGTAGTAAGCATTGTTGATGCTGACCACGGAAACAATATTTTGCCAAAAACTTTTTCCCATAGTGGTAAGAATCGTATCTAATTCGAGAGTTCCAGTTTTGAAATCAATGCTTTCGGATCTTAACACATGTTTTTCTATTTCCAGTTGTAACTGATAATTTACTAAAAAGTCGGCATTCAGAACTTCATACACATGATTTTTCACCTAAAAATGTTGAATGAGAAAATGGTTTTAAAAACAATACTAAAATAAAAATAGTGATTTATATAATATCGTTAAAAATAGATATATTTACTAAAATATACATTTTAAATTCCTATACATACTATAATTTATATAAAACCCAAAATAATAATAATAATCTTTATATTATTGCTTTGAAATTATATATAACTTTTATTATAATACATTAGATTTATATAAACACCTATATAATAAAAATAAAGTTAACATCAACTAATGATCTTAATTAATTAAAGATTTTGATTGATTCAGAATAATATCTTGTCATCTTAGTATTTAATACCTACTTTATAGTTCAATATTGTTATTAAATATTATTAGTGTGATTTATTGTATCCGCATACTTAAATTTAAATAATATAATCTTACGAAATTTTCGACGTTTTCCACCTGTTTCGAGTCACCGTCCATTTGTATACAATCGTTGTACGAAGCACACAAGTTTTGGCAAGCATTGACAAACGATTTCTTCTTAGTGTTGAAGTCGTTAACTTTAGCATTTAGTAATTTGTCTTGAAACGACCTGTGCTTGTCGATCAGAGCTTTTACCGTCGTACGTCTCACAGTAGGCTTCCTCTGGATTTCTTGCTCGTGAACATTGCAACTTTTGTAAGACCCCTGTGAATCCTGGTCGGATGCAACTAATATGGGCGATGTCAGTTCAATGCGAGGCAACGATTTTGTTCTTATGATCGCCGCATTAGGTTCAAGTCCCGACATGGCCATAATAATAGGTATAATACCTGCTAGTAGACTACAGGCTGTTCGTTGTATACGGTTTTGTAGCAATCTTTCTCGCAGGACGAGTACCTATAGTTATTTACGTAAAATAATAGTACAATTGACAATAAAATAATATAAAAGCAAAATGAAATAAAAGATGTCCAAGTTTCGAACTTCCGTGCAATAAAACAACACACGCTGTAGGTATGGTAATTACTAAATACTAATTAATAATTTTATAACATATTATATCGGTATGTTGTATACTAGTATTATTATATTATATTATTAAGGTTATTTTAACAAGAAACACGCGATTCTCTCGCGTACATATTATTATTATAACGACGAATTATCTACAACCTAGCCAGCAGCACTGTTTGTACATTTCCGGTAGGAACCTGTAACTTCCAATATTAATAAATAATTATTATTGACACCAAAAATATTTGTGGTGTAATAATTGACTGTTGTACGGTATATATTATTATCACGTATATTATTATAATAAACTTCAATAATAATCACGTAAGACTATGCAGAGAGTGATATTGAAATGTCCAAACTCAATAATATTCTACCTATGAAGGAACAATATTATGTTATTTTATATGGGTAATGACTTTTATAGTTGGTACAATGGTACCTACTGGTATACATATATGGTATACCTACTCTTGGTTGGGAAAACACCAAAGTATACGATTTTTAATCCAGTTGCTTTTTATTTTAAGTCTTATCAAAATTCCAGATCTTAGGATTTTTGTACTGTCTATAAAACAGCATTAAATAGGTACCTTCCCAATCGTTATCTTTATATACAATAAATTACTGATCAGTTATAACTTAATAAGTGTATAACTGTTAAGTGTTAATATTGTTAATTGAAATAGTAACTTAGTTTAGGTCGTATTTTAATGTTACCGAACTTATAACTTTATAAGTGTGTTTTACTCAGGGCTAGTCGACTTTAAAATAACGTTATGACTTATGACTTATGATTATAACGTTATATTTGACAATAAAACGATTGGAATTTTAAAACGTTATTATAACGGAAAGCGATCGTCAAAAATACATAAATACTGCAAAACAAAACATAATGACTAACAAATTATATTATATATCATTAAACAAAACATAACACAAAACGTAATTTATAGAATATCATAAAATGAAAAATAACACAAAACGAAATATTTTAAAATATATTTATTTAAAAGGTCTATTTATTTTGTAGAAACATTTATTTCATGCAAACAATCTAGAATTGATTATATAATATTCCCTATCCGGGCCATATCTACCCGTATTAGCTATTATTTTAGATTCTGAGTGAAACGATGAATGTATTGATTTTACAATGATGTGTGTTTTAGATTCTGAGCGGAGCGATGAATGTATTGGTTTTACAATGATGTATGTTTTTTTTTATTTATATTTTTATTTATATATATTTTTGTGTCTGTCATCACGTTTTAGGACAGTAAAAGTGCTTCGATTTTCTTCAATAGTACCTTTTCTGATAGGAAAGTGAATCTAGTTGGTACTTTGGGGGGTCAAAAGTAAACATTTCCCAGTAGTTTTCACAAGCGCCGGGAAAAACAACATAAAAATTAAGGAAAAACGGGAATTTTTACGCAAAATCGATTTTCCAAAAAATCGAATTTGGTTTTTGGTGTAACTCTAAAACAAATGAACGTATATACATGAAATTTTCACTGGTTGTTTATATTTGCATTTTCTATACACGATAACATTTTCAAAATATTTTGATTTATTTTGAACTGTTTAGGGACATTTTCATTTTCCATTTTTTTTAGTTTTTTTTCTAAAAATATCAATAAAATTTTATTTGTTGGTTGCGAAAGCTTGAAAATTTAATAGAAGGCTCCTAATATGTTGTTTCAAAGGCAGATGAAAAATATTAAAAATCCTTAGTCACAATTTTTTTTTATAAGCATTTAAAGTTCAAAAATTGACAAAATATGGAAAAATCACGAAAATTAGCAAATTATTTTGAGTTAAGAATTCGTAAAAATTTTTCTTTTTAAATCGAAGATTTGAAAATGAAACACAAGATTCCTTATAAGATTATCTACCTTTATCAATAAAAAAATCTCTACCGGATAGTCAAATTAAATTTTTATGAGCGTTTGAAATTCAAATTTTTACAACATTGGATTTTCACTCGATTTCTCATGTAGCGATTTCCTTATTTTGTTGTAATTCAAAAACGAATAACTGTAGATACATGAAAATTTCACTGAATGTTTATATTAGCATTTCATATACACCATACAATTTTGAAAATATTTTGACTCTTTTTGAGCTGTTTATGGACATTTACAGCTTTCAATTTTTTTTAGTTTTTTTTTCTATAAATATCAATAAAGTTTTATCTGTTGGGCCAAAAAGTGTAAAAATTTAATACAAGGCTCCTGATATATTGTTACAATATCAGTTGAAAAATATTAAAAATACATAGGCACGATTTTTTTTTATAAGCATTTAAAGTTGGAATTTTGACAAAATTTATCAAAATCTCGAAAATTATCAATCGTTGGAATTAAAAAATTATAAAATGTTCAGTTTTTATAACTAAGAGTTGAAAATTTAAAACAAAGATTCTCTTAAATAATTCATACTGTAACCAAAAAATCTAAAAAATATATAAACACACTTATTTTTTACAGACATTTTAATTTCAAATTTAGACAAAATTTCATATTTAAACCAAGAATTACGATTTTAGTAGACTGACATACCGTCTCCGCTCAGAATCGTTTTTCTTATACAATGATATTATATCATTGAATTCAAGTTTAATACCATCCATTATACAGTGACCCACTTGTAACCTACTGTACAGCAGAGCGACACCCACTTGCCCACCTTTTTTTTTTTATTTTTTTTTTATTTTTTTTTTTATTTTTGTGTCTGTCATCACGTTTTAGGACAGTAAAAGTGCTTGGATTTTCTTCATCAGTAGCTTTTCTGATAGGAAAGTGAATCTAGTTGGTACTTTGGGGGGTCAAAAGTATAAATTTCCCAGTAGTTTTCACAAGCGCCGGGAAAAACAACATAAAAATTAAGGAAAAACGGGAATTTTTACGCAAAATTGGTTTTCCAAAAAATCGATTTTGGTTTTTGGTGTAACTCTAAAACAAATGAACGTATATACATGAAATTTTCACTGGTTGTTTATATTTGCATTTTCTATACACGATAACATTTTCAAAATATTTTGATTTATTTTGAACTGTTTAGGGACATTTTCATTTTTCATTTTTTTTTAGTTTTTTTTCTAGAAATATCAATAAAATTTTATTTGTTGGTTGCGAAAGCTTGAAAATTTAATAGAAGGCTCCTAATATGTTGTTTCAAAGGCAGATGAAAAATATTAAAAATCCTTAGTCACAATTTTTTTTTATAAGCACTTAAAGTTCAAAAATTGACAAAATATGGAAAAATCACGAAAATTAGCAAATTATTTTGAGTTAAGAATTCGTAAAAATTTTTCTTTTTAAATCTAAGATTTGAAAATTTAACACAAGATTCCTTATAAGATTATCTACCTTTATCAAAAAAAAAATGTCTATAAGAAAGTCAAATTAAATTTTTATGAGCGTTTGAAATTCAAATTTTTACAACATTGAATATTCACTCGATTTCCCATGTAGCGATTTCCTTAGTTTGTTGTAATTCAAAAACAAATAACTGTAGATACATGAAAATTTCACTGAATGTTTAAATTAGCATTTTCTATACACCATACAATTTTGAAAATATTTTGACTCTTTTTGAGCTGTTTATGGACATTTACAGCTTTCAATTTTTTTTAGTTTTTTTTTCTATAAATATCAATAAAGTTTTATCTGTTGGGCCAAAAAGTGTAAAAATTTAATACAAGGCTCCTGATATACTGTTACAATAGCAGTTGAAAAATATTAAAAATACATAGGCACAGTTTTTTTTTATAAGCATTTAAAGATAAAATTTTGACAAAATTTATCAAAATCTCGAAAATTATCAATCATTGAAATTAATAAATTATAAAATGTTCAGTTTTTATAGCTAAGGATTGCAAATTTAAAACAAAGGTTCTCATAAATAGTTCATACTGTAACCAAAAAATCTAAAAAATATATGAACACAGTTATTTTTTACAGACATTTTAAATTCAAATTTGGACGACATTACATATTAAAAAACCTAGAATAACTATTTTAGTTATTTTGTTGTGATTGAATAATATTATTCGTGGGTACTTGAAACTTCTAAAGTGTACTATTATATATCTATGATAGTATCACGGTTTTGTTGATGTATAACGCGTTATAAGTACCTAATGGACATTGTGATATGATTAATTTGGAATTTATTATAGGTACCTATTATAGGTCAATTTTTTGTTTAATACCATAGATATGTATATAATATGTCTTAAACATAGACTGACATACCGTCTCCGCTCAGAATCGTTTTTCTTATACAATGATATTATATCGTTGAATTCAAATTTAATATCATCCATTATACAGTGACCCACTTGTAACCTACTGTACAGCAGAGCGACACCCACTTGCCCACCTTTTTTAATTTAATAGGTATTAACACTATTTTAAATAACTATAAATGCAAAACATGGATAACGTTTTAATTCTGAATAACGATAAACGCAAAAGTTGAATAACGTTTTAATTATAAATAACGATAAACGAAGAAATTGTAAATATTATAAAACTGATTTTTTTTTTCAAATGTAAGCCCTAGCTGGTTTTACTCACTGCTTGGCTCGTACAATTTAAGGTGCGTATAATATGATAAATGTTATAACATTTATTATTTTTAATTTTAAGTGTGGTACTAACTATTAATACTTTAATTTCAAACGTGCATTATGTTATTATATTTAAAAGTTAACAGATCATTGACAAATTACTAATTAGTATAAAAAGACTATATTTACATATTTTAAAAGTCTGGTATGAAGAAATTAA